TTACCTTTGATCTAGCTAGCTCAAGTGACACTAGCAGTGAAGCCATGGAAGCACGGCTGGTGGCTACTCGAGTATGTACCCAGGGTGCTGGGTGGGCAGGACTAGCTTGTGCTACTGCCTGGGCTGCTGTGGTTTCAATGCTATTGTGCTGACATGGTCTAAATCCCATAGTTTTGTACTCACTATCAAAACTCAGGCTTTGTGTACATAGTAACTTGCACTGGTCAAAATGAACTCAGATTTAAAACCACTTTGGTTAAACTGCTGCAAGATACTTGTTTGGAGCCTCTTAACCCATTTTAAAACTGGCTTGTATCAATTAAATCAATTCCTTTCTGACTTAAGCTAAAGCACCACAAACCAGGTTAAATTGTCTTTAAGTGTTTGTCTTTCTGCTGGCTCCCAGCCTGGTTGCTAGGCAACCCAGCAAACTCAATTGGACCCAATGAGCTCCCTCCATATGGTTTCATTTTGATTGGGCAGAGGAGCATTGCCAAGTCCGCTGTAATTTTTTTTTAGAGCCGCGGGCTGCAGGTTTTGGGGCTTGTTTTATTTGGAGGTTGCTTTTTTGTAATAGTGGACTTCCATGCCACTCATACTTCTGCGCTGCTCCTGGCGGCGGTGCTGCCTTCAGAGCTGGACGCCCGGTCAGCAGCCGCCCCTCTCTGGCCGCCCACCCTGTGCTTACTTTGTGCTGGGGCTGAACCCCGCAGGGCCGCTGGAACGGGGGGACCACGGGGCCATGGCCCCATCACTTTTTTCCTGCCTTAAGGGGGGTAAGAGGCAGAGAGGAGTAAGTGGCAGGTTGGGGAGCCTCAGGAGGAGAGGCGGAGTGGGCATGGGGCCTCGGGAGAAGAGGTGGGGCGGGGTGGGACCTCGGGGAAGAGGCAGGACCACTGTTCAGGTGCCGGTGGCCCCCACACACTTCTCGGGAGCTTCCAGTACTTCTGAGTCCTGGCAACTCTTTCATTTAAGCACTGCCCCCACACACCTCCCTCTGAAATGGGCTGGGCTAGTTTGGGGCTTGTTCTGAAAGGCAGTGCCACTTTTTTTCCCCTTGTGTTGCCAAGTCTCACATCAGTGGCTGTTCGGTGCATACAGCGGTGCTTAACTTGCTCTCACTTCTGCTTAAAGCCTACTCCTGCTCCAACCTCAGCCTGTACCTGTTCCATTCTGGTTTCTGACTCCTGGCTCTGACTTTTGGCTACATCCCTTGGCTTACCCATTGGCTTCTGACCTTTGGTTTGACCCCTGGATCTATACTCGATTACTGGAACTGCTAGTACAACCACAGGAAAGATCCTGCTCTATCCACTGGGCAGCTTATAGTGTGTCCACACAGGGCTTTGCACCTCTTTAAATCACATAATTGTACAATACACTTTTAGTGGAAGCCAGTGCCAATGTATGTGTATACAAGGCCATACTACTTGATGTAAGGAGCTCTCAGTAACCTGGGACACAAGGGGTATGTTTACACTGCCAAAAACAAAAACCCTGCAGCAGCACATCAACTTTGTCAACTGACTCAGGCTGGTGGGGCTTGTGCTATGGTGGGGCTAAGAATAGCTGTAAAGCCATTCCTACTCAGGCTGGAGGTGGGGCTCTGAACCCCCGCGGGGTGTGTGTGCAATGGTTCTGAGAGCTTCAGCTCCAACCCAAGCAGGAGTGTCTACAATGCTACTTTTAGCCCTGTAGTACGAGCCCTGGGAGCCTGAGTCTGTTGACACAGACTTTGAGACTTGCTGCAGTAAGGCTTTTGGGAGGAACGGGGGGTTGGTTTTTTGCAGAGTAGACATACTCCAAGGTCAGGGTTGATGTCCCACCATGCTCCATTCTGACACCCATTAAGAGATAAGGAACTCACTTCTCTTCTCCCATTGTAAAATCTATGGGGGTCGGAGGGCTCTCCAAAAATGTCATGAAGTTGGAGAGATGCAGCTACATGTACCACTCAGGGGAGAGGTCTGTGACCACACAGGCCTTGTCTTCAGTAGAAACAAAGGGATATTTTGAACATATGTAAAACAAATCTAGTGTAGAATCATAGAATATCAAGGTTAGAAGGGATCTCAGGAGGTCATCTAGTCCAACCTCCTGCTCAAAGCAGGACCAATCCCCAGACAGATTTTTTCCCCACAGATCCCTAAATGGCCCCTTCAAGGATTGAACTCATAACCCTGGGTTTAATAGGCCAATGCTCAAACCACTGAGCTATCCCTCCCCCCCAGGATAAATTGACAGGGTAAATTGTACTTTTAACATATGTTAAAATCCTGCTCTAGACCAGGCAGATTAACACGTTAGCTAACGTTTTAAAAACACTTTTTTCCTAGTGAAGGCATGGCCTTAGGGGACAGGAAGGAAGTGGCATGACAATACAGACCCCCAAGGACATACAGGGAGAGCTTAGGACAACCCCATGGGACTTTCCCTCCACGTGCCTGTCTATTCTCAGTCCCCTAGCTGCACAGGAGGAGTCGTGCAACATTAGGAGACTCCCTGTGGCTACACATGTCCCTATTGTCACTGATTAAAAATAAAAAGGAGTTAATGCTGCTTCCAGCAGACTTTTTGATCAGCAGAGCTGCTCCCCAACTGTGATTCCTTCCCACCCCCCAGTCCAGGAAGCCCTGATTGCATTGAGTTTACATGGAAGAGCATACGTGGGCATAGCAAGGAAGAAGCTGCTGCATCATCCTCTTGATGGTTGCTGCACAGATTCTGTGTGACTGTTTACTCCGCTCTTCTTGGGAGGAAGGAAAGGGCATCTGGACCCAGAAACATAGCACCTCTGCCCAGCTCCCCCATCCCAGTCACAGATACACCAAAATAAGGAATACTCTTCTTATAAATGGTCTATAAACTGCAGGTGACAAAGCATTAGCTCTTTTTTCAGGCATTTTTCTGGGTGTCCCAGTCACTGCTGAATCTATTCTCCCCCTCCCCATTCTATTAAATAAAAAGTTAATGTTGCCTCAATTTAGCAGTGGATTTTTCCCACTATCTTGGACAGCCTGGAAACCATTATGCAATAATGCCAGCTGAGAGATGATTCATTGTATTGTAGTCCCCTCCTGAACTTCCTGAGTAAATTTACAAGTGACAGACAACTCATTAAGGGAATCATTAAGAAAGGGATAGATAATAAGACAGAAAATATCATATTGCCTCTATATAAATCCATGGTATGCCCACATCTTGAATACTCATGCAGATGTGGTAACCACATCTCAAAACAGATATACTGGAATTGGAAAAGGTTCCAAAAAGGGCAACAAAAATGATTAGGGGTACGGAACGACTGCCATATCAGGAGAGATTAATAAAACTGGGACCTTTCAGCTTGGAAAAAAGATGACTAAGGTGGGATATGATAGTGGTCTATAAAATCATAACTAGTGTGGAGAAAGTAAATAAGGAAGTGTTATTTACTCCTTCTCATAACACAAGAACTAGGGGTCACCAAATGAAATTAGTAGGCGGCAGGTTTAAAACAAACAAAAGTATTTTTTAATACAACGCACAGTCAACCTGTGGAACTCCTTGCCAGAGAATGTTGTGAAGTCCAAGACTATAACTGGGTTAAAAAAATAACTAGATAAATTGATGGAGGATAGGTCCATCAGTAATGGCTATTGTAATGGCATGGAGGATAGGTCCATCAGTCAGCTGGGGACTGACTGGCTAAGCAGCAGTTCTGCAGAAAAGGACGTGGGGATTATAGTGGATGAGAAGCTGGATATGAGTCAGCAGTGTGCCCTTGTTGTCAAGAAGGCTAATGGCATATTGGGTTGCATTAGTAGGAGCATTGTCAGCAGATCAAGGGAAGTGATTATTCCCCTCTATTTGGCACTGATGAGGCCACATCTGGAGTATTGCATCCAGTTTTGAGCCTCCCACTACAGAAAGGATGTGGACAAATTCAAGAGAGTCCAGCGGAGGGCAACAAAAATGATCAGGGGGCTGGGGCACATGACTTACGAGGCTGAAGGAACTGGGGTTATTTAGTCTGCAGAAGAGAAGAGTGAGGGGGGATTTAATAGCAGCCTTCAACTACCTGAAGGGGGGTTCCAAAGAAGATGGAGCTCGGCTGTTCTCAGTGGTGGCAGATGACAGAACAAGGAGCAATGGTCTCAAGTTGCAGTGGGGGAGGCCTAGGTTGGATATTAGGAACCACTATTTCACTAGAAGGGTGGTGAAGCACTGGAATGGGTTACCTAGGGAGGTGGTGGAATCTCCATCCTTAGAGGTTTTTAAGGCCCGGCTTGACAAAGCCCTGGCTGGGATGATATAGTTGGTGTTGGTCCTGCTTTGAGCAGGGGATTGGACTAGATGACCTCCTGAGGTCCCTTCCAACCCTGATATTCTATGATTCTATGGTGTCCCTAGCCTCTGTTTGCCAGAAGCTGGGAATGAGTGACAGGGAATGAATGGATCACTTGATGATTACCTGTTCTGTTAATTCCCTCTGGGACACCTGGCATTGGCCACTGTCAGAAGACAGGATACTGGGCTAGATGGATCTTTGGTTTGATCCAGTATGGCTGTTCTTATGTAACTCACCATAGTATAAGCACTTGGTCTGGTAATAAATGTCGACAGGATCAGGTTGTATAGCATCAAAATTACAATACAGCATAGATTATACTTAGCATGGCCATTACATTTCTGTTACTCTGGTGAACTACTTTGTACTAAAAAAATTACCTCCAAATATTAATAATTATCACACACTTTAACAGTGGGTCCATTTTTTAGCGTTTTTAGTTACTGGAATCCCTTTCAAACACTAACCCAGCTTCCTCATGTTACAGATCACTAAAATAAAACGGGAAACTAGTGACCGGGTATTTAGATGTACATAGTCTGCAACGAGAAAACAGGGCTTTCAGTCCAGACACGTTTCAACTAACAAATCTTCCTGGAAAATCCCTCCACCCCCCCCCCCCCCCCCGCGCGCACACACACACAGTTTTTAAAGCAGCAGCAAAACTTACTTCCGATAATTTTGTGAGAGAACGGAGGCTCATTTGCAATGCAGACGGGATCGGTCCCATTCTGCATTTCTTTAGCTTCTGTTAAGCCTTGTCTCCTCGTGCTGTCCCTGAGGCGTTGCTTCCTTTTCAGTGTTCCCAGTCCCCAGATGGCTGAGTTACAAAGCACTGCTACTTCTGCGCTTTTCCAGTAAGGCGCTGAGATTTGTTGCCAAATGTAAATTTCCTCCCAACTACCTTTCGATTGGGTAAATGCTTGACAGTCCGAATAGCCAGCTCTTTCTCTCTCCGTTCAAACACTGCTGCAGAATGAGGCGCCAGTGAAAGATCCCCCAAGGAAACCACAGGGTGACTGGGTGGCGAAGTCCTGTTGAGCAGTGCCCACACACAATTTACACTCTTGCCTTGTGCGTTAGCAACATCCTTCTTGTCGGCAGGGAGGTTCCACACTTGTGTCCGTGTCCCCTCTAGTGTTGTGTTATTTATTTGCTAGGTGCTGTTAAAGACATACAGTAAAGATGTCCCTGCTCCACAAGACACATAAAGACAGAGCTCCCTAAGGCATACAGTGTTAATACTTACAGTACAAGTTCCAAGCTTCAGAATGTCACCCTCTTCTTCACACACACCCCAGCACCAGGCAGCACCTCCCACACACTACCTGAAATGTCAGCGATAGTCACTTTTGCAAGGCTTTGAGAGAAACAGTTTAAACCTATGAGCAAGAGGCATATGTACTGCACTCCGCATTTACCTCTCTGTGTGAAGTTAGGGGCGGGGGAGACCAATGGATACATTTCAGACCAAATCATGGTCCTATTAAAGTGGAAAACTACCATAGACTTCACCCCTAAAGGAACCAAAAATGGGGAGGAGAAGCAAGTGAAAATTAAACTTTTTACCTCATGTTTAAAAACGATTTAACAGGAGAGCTGGATTTTACTCAACTCTTAAACAAACAACCACACCATTTTGATCCAGTTTTGCAAGTTCTTGCCATATAAACCAAAACTACTTTTTGCATAAAAAGGGAAGGGGAGGGGAGAGAGAGAGTTACATTACAATGAAGGGGAGAGAGTTCAAGAGAGAGAGTTACATTACAATGAAGGCAGATTTATAAACTTAAAAAAAACAACACAAAATAGCAGAATTTTTCAATTTGATCTCTGTAGCAGGTAGAGCTGGTTGGGAATTTTTGTTGGAAATATTTTCCAAAGGAAAACTCAGTTTGAACAAAATTGACATTTTCCACAGGAGAATGTCAATTATGCTGCCATTTTGATTTTCTATTTGGAAAACAAAATGGAAATATTTCCTTTTGGATTGGTTTCACCTGATTCTGAATATTTGGGATTGTTGAAAGCCAGGGCTCTTTGTTTGGAGCCAGTTCAACATTAAACTGCATTTCCCTAATTGTGACACATTGCTTTATGGAAGCTGTAGTTTGGGCTCATGTTTTCTCCTATGGGCTGAGCTCCCTGGCAAGACTTCATTTCTCATGATGCAATACAGTCTACCCTTTGACTGAGCATGGTACATCATAAAAGTCCCATAACTACAGGTGCACAATGGGAGATCAGTGGTGTAGTGGTAAAAAAATAAAATGAGTAAACTAGCCTAAAGGAAACTCTATATTCCCTAAATGAGAAGTGGGTCTACTCTGTTTACCCAAGTTTACCATCAACTACACTACTGTGGGAGATGTAGTCTGGCCAGGGAACCTGGCCCATAGCGGATAATCTGAGGTACAACACCCCCAAGGCAATGCATCACAACAGGGAAACATAGTTTAAGGCTGAAATTGACTCAAAAATGAAGCATTTATGGTCTGTTCAACAAACCAAAATGAAACATTTTGATTCAGAAATGTCAACATTTTATTTTTTATCAGAAATGCTGAAGTGAAATATTTCAGCCTTTCCCAAATGAAACATTTTTGAAACTTTTCATTAATAGAAAAATGTTGATACTTCATTTTTTTCATTCTGATTCAGGACAAAAGCAAATGTTGAACATCAGAACTTTCTACAGGATGGAAATTCTGATTTTCCACTCAGCTCTACTAGCACCCCCTTTTCTGGGTATTCATGACCGTGGGATCTTCATCACAGACCTCTAAAACTTGAGCTAAAGGGGTAATTGTCACTAGTAGCAATACTAGTTTTTTATCCTCTAGAGAACCAGCCACTAGAAGGGGATGTGGCACACACTTAATCAATGTCTTACACCTTCAGGTTAGGAGGCATTTTATCTTGCTCTTTCCAGCAGTAGTTATGCTAGTTGTGTAATAGGATTGTCAGGCACTGCACACAGGAAGGTGCAAGTGAAACCAGACATATCCATCTTGGAAAACACTTGAGAGAAAATGCAAGAACCATTTGCTTTGGAAATCTGGCTCAGCCTACTGCAGAACTCCCCAGACAGGTTTTGGGCAGCAGGTCCAAGTGTGTGAGATGAGAAAGCGAAGAACTGTGGCTGGATTTAGGACAGTCCCTCCAGGACAGAAGAGGAGAAATATAAGGAAAACCCAGACTCCAGAGGTTAGGGTCTGAGGAAGGATAGGCCTGCCTAAGATTCTAGGTAAGATAGATGTGCATGTAGGCCTTTTGTAGTTTCAAAATCCTTTCTCTCTTGTTATTATTTGCTCCTACTGTTAAGATTAAACAATACTTTGTTTTAAGAAAACTGGTCACAAACTCCTAAACAGATCTGCAGCTACTGAGTCAAGACAACCCAGTCTAAGAGTGGGAGAACTATGTGATTCCACCCCAAGAAAGGAAACAGCTCGAGGCCTGGGATCCTAGAGCAGTGGTTCTTAACCTGGGGTGCACGCACCCGGCGAGATGCCGTTTCTGGGGGTGCGAGACATGCCAGATTTTTTTAGAAGGTAAATCATCGAAAACACAAATTAAGCACAGGCACGTAAGTACAACTACTTTGTTTCATCAAACCTATGTATTTATTAACATTATACATTTTTTAACAATTACCATAATATACAAACAAAAAATATATCTAGGTTTAAGGGGTGCGAGAACATATTTGAAGAACCAAAGGGGTGCAGGCTGCAGTAAAGGTTAAGAACTACTGTCCTGGAGGGTGCCCTCAGACACCGGAAAAGGGACATAGAGGAGGCTGGCTGTGTTACTGTGACAGTAGTGATGTGCCTATATATTTTTTCTAGGGCTGTCAATTAATCACAGTTAACTCACGCAATTAACTCAAAAAAATTAATCGCGATTAAAAAAATGAATTGCAATTAATCGCATTGTTAAACAATAGAATACCAATTAAAATGTATTAAATATTTTGGATGTTTTTCTACATTTTCAATAGTGATTTCAATTACAACACAGAATACAAAGTGCACAGTGCTCACTTTATATTATTATTTTTTATTACAAATATTTGCACTGTAAAAATGACAAACAAAAGAAATAGTATTTTTCAATCCATCTCATACAAATACTGAAGTGCAATCTCTTTATCATGAAAGTGTAACTTACAAATGCAGATTTTTTTTTGGGCTACATAACTGCACTGTAGCGGAGCGGTTACCCTGCTCCTGGGATAAAGGAGTGAGAGCAGCTGAGGGAGGCTGGCTGAGTAGCTGGCCATAGGTGTGGCCAGCTCAATCAGGGCACAGCTGGCCCTGATAAGAGGGCTGTGAGTAAGGAGCCATGAGAGTCTCACTCCAGCCCTGGAGTGAGAAAGACCTGGCTGCCTGGGAGAGACAGGGTACCTTCGACAGAGCAGCCCCTGGGGAAGGGGCAGGCTGAGCTGGGGAGCTCAGGCCTGGCTACCTCCCAGGCTAAGGCCTGGCAGGAAGGCCTAAGGCAGTACTGTGGCTGCAGGGAAAGGCAGCAGGTCTAACCCCCTTGCCAATGATGAATGGCCATTACAGACTGCAGGTTGCCCCAGAGAAAGGGGGCTAGATGATGACTGGCAGTAGCCACTGAGGCAAGGTGGGCATGGGGGAAGGGGTTCCCCTGGGAGGGGAGACCCAGAGTGGGGGTGCACTGCTGGGGGGCAGCACCCCAAGATAAGGGTCACCGCAGGCCGGGAGGGATGCAGGGCCTGAAGTATGGTGGTGGAGACCAGGAAGCAGGTACCGGTAGGGAGACTCTGGCCAGCAGAAGGTGCTCTGAGGCTGGAAAGAGCTAATTCCCAGACTGACCAGCAGGAGGCACCATGGCAGTGAGTGCCCGCCATGCTACATGCACTCAAAAACAAAACAGTGTAAAACTTTAGCGCGTACAAGTCCACTCAGTCCTACTTCTTATTCTGCCAATCGCTAAGACAAACGAGTTTGTTTACATTGACAGGAGATACTGCTGCCTGCTTCTTATTTACAATGCTACCTGAAAGTGAGAACAGGCGTTCACGTGGCACTTTTGTAGCCTGTGTTGCAAGGTATTTATATGCCAGATATGCTAAACATTCGTGTGCCCCTTTATGCTTCAGCCACCATTCCAGAGGACATGCTTCCATGCTGATGATGCTCGTTAAAAAAATAATGCGTCAATTAAATTTGTGACTGTACTCCTTGGGGGGGAGAATTGTATGTCTCCTGCTCTGTTTTACTTGCATTCTGCATATATATTTCATGTTATAGCAATTTCAGATGATGACCCAGCACATGTTGTCCAATTTAAGAACACTTTCACTGCAGATTTGACAAAATGCAAGGTACCAGTGTGAGATTTCTAAAGATAGCTACAGCACTCGACCCAAGGTTTAAGAATCTGAAGTGCCGTCCAAAATCTGAGAGGGACGAGGTGTGGAGCATGCTTTCAGAAGTCTTAAAAGAGCAACACTCTGATGCGGAAACTACAGAACCCGAATCACCAAAAAAGAAAATCAACCTTCTGCTGGTGGCATCTGACTCAGATAATGAAAATGAACATGCGTCGGTCCGCACTGCTTTAGACCGTTTTCAAGCAGAGCCTATCATCAGCATGGAACCATGTCTTCTGGAATGGTGGTTGAAGCATGAAGGGACATATGAATCTTTAGCGCATCTGGCACGTAAATATATTGCAACACCAGCTACAAAAGTACCATGCAAACGCCTGTTCTCACTTTCAGGTGACATTGTAAACAAGAAACGGCCAGCATTATCTCCTGCAAATTGTAACCAACCTTGTTTGTCTGAGTGATTGGCTGATCAAGAAGTAGGACTGAGTGGACTTGTAGGCTCAAAAGTTTTACATTGTTTTATTTTTGAATGCAGGTTTTTTTTTACATAATTCTACATTTGTAAGTTCAACTTTCATGATAAAAAGATTGCACTACAGTACTTGTATGAGGTGAATTGAAAAATATATTTTTTTATT